CTTTCTTCATATTCTGTGGCGGTGCTTAGGTGTGGGAATCGATGGCGGAAACGACAAAGACTGGGAAGCTAATGCTTGCAAAATCCAGCTTATCAAACAGAAGGGGAAAGTGAAGGCTCTGGATGAAGAGGTTCACAGTATGTATTTCCCTTTTGTTCTTTGCCTGCTCTCTTTCCTTGAAATGTCCTCTCATCTCATTGGTGTTTTGAATATCCCCTGTTTTACCCAGAAGCACTGTATTTCCAAATAACTATGTATAAAGTGCCGGAGATGTAAACACTCACACGTGTGCTGTGAAGAACCTGGTGATCCTGTGGATGTGAAGTTCTCAAGACAAATGAACTGCATCCTCTTAAAACAAAATAGACCTGAAAAAATACATTTTAGAAAACAGACCAAAAAAAAATCCAAAAACCAAAGCTCCTTAGACTGGGGAAAGGGGAATTACTGGAACATAATTATCAGAGACCTAGAGCTTGGGCAAAAAAGAGAAATGCTCTACTAACTTCACCAGTTGAATTTTAAATTTTCATATGTAACGCTTGTCCCAACTAAAGCTGTCCATCCGAGTAGCGATGGGCTAAGCAGTCGGCTTCAGGAAAGCACTAATGTGTGTGTGTGTGAAGCTGATGACAACGCAGACAGTAAGGTCTTATGTGTCTGTTTCTGCCTCTCTATGTTCCCTTGATTTAAACCTTAAGTTCATTAAATCTGCGCACAACGCAAAGAAACACGAAGTTGTTGGGTGTGGAATACAGGTAAGCCATGTGAGAACGGGAAGATGCTTTTCAGAGGAGTCAAGATCTCTAGTTTATGTTCAAGAGCTGCTGTGCTGTTGTAACTTAACTTTTTTAAACCTATGCTAGTGTCACCCTCACAGTGCAGAGTGCTGTTTATCCCAAAGGAAGGTGGGTAGATCTAATCCTAGTGTAGAGAAAACCAGGAACTGAAAAGGCCAGGCCAGGTGGTACGTGCATTATGGAAATAGAAGATATGCAAAATATTTCTGAAGAAATGTTTTCCTGCTCAAGAAAATTGCAGGATATACAGTTTTAAAGAGATTGTGGAGACACTTGTAGAACAAAAGGAATATTTTTTCCTGAAGAAATATTAATGGTATGCTTTCTTAGAGACAAGGGTTAGTGATGAATATTCTAACTGTAGTGGTATGTAACTGTGAAATGAGCTGGTTCAGTCACAGCTGTACGGGAGGTGACAGGAGGACAAGGTGCACTCCAGAGAGAGAAATTAAGATTGGATTCTTTCTTAAAAGTCATTTTTTATTTTGGCGAGGTGAGGAGTGCAGGGAGGGTGCTTGTGTGCATCTGCATTCTGAATCCCCTGAAAACACGCTCGATGTTTTGTTGGATTTGCTGATTCTGTTTCCCTGTCAGTGTTGCTGCCCTGTGGGCCCCGGAGGCCTGGGGAGACTCCCACGTTGACTTTGGGGTAGGGACGGCCCCTCAGTACTAAAAACTTCTCCTACTTCTGCTGCAGAGCAACAGGACATGGACCTCGACATCGAGTTTGATGTACACCTTGGAATCGCCCATACCCGCTGGGCTACCCACGGCGAGCCCAGCCCTATCAACAGCCACCCGCAGCGCTCCGATAAAAACAACGGTGAGTGTGCTTGCTTGAGGAACCGCGCGCTCCCGAGCGGGTCCCGGAGCGCCTGGAAAAGCTTGCTGCCGTTTCCAGTGCCTGGTGTGTCACAGGGAGGGGCGGCCGGACCCGGGGCGGTGGGTTTGTTGCAGGCCATGATGCTGTGAAGCCGAAGGGGTTTGGCCTTGATTTCTGTCCGCGGGGTACGTTCACAGCAGTGAATGATCTCAGGAAGGGTTGGGATTAGTGCCCAGAGGTTCGGTGGGTGCATGGGCACAGTGCAAGGAGGAGGTAAACACAGAATGAAATTGGATGGTAAGAATTTCCATGGCTATTCTTTGGAATGGAATTTTGTATACTTTTTTTTTATGTTTTTTTCATAATCACCACTGTACAGAAGAGGGTTGGTCTGTGCTGCTGTAGCGTGCAGCTTGGTTAGTGTTCGGTGTAGCCGCCCGAGGAGCAGCACCGACAGGCTGGCAGGAGGAGCGCGGTGTTGAATTGCTTCCAGCAGGCCGGAGACTGCCAAGCGCTCAAGTGCCTCCAGAAACTTTGCAGGATCCCAGTAGCCCTGGTGCTGCCCGGGTCATTATTATGTTCTGCCATTACCCGCCCCACCAAATGGGGCAGAGCAAGGAAGTCACCAGGAGGTGAAATTCTTC